TATAGAACCTGTCTTCCCATGGTGTCTTGTGAATCGGGCCAATATGAGACAGTGTGTAACACAAAATATGGCATTTACAGGTACAATAGTATCACTGAACAATTTTAAGTGATTTTTAACTTAATATAAAAGTATTGATTCAAAATTATTTTTCACACCTAAATATATATGTATGTATGTGTGTATATGTATATATCTGATAGAGTCATTTATAAAAAACATACACAGCACGTTAAAAAAATAAAAACAATCCATTTCCTTCTGGTACCAATTACCTATGATGGTTTTGAAATATAAACATTTAGCAGCATGAAATATATGTTTAATATTGGTTTTCACTAATATTTTTTGACTTAAGCTAAATGGTAATGATTAAAAATTAGACCGTTTACTTTAAGCAGAACTCTTATTGTGTCTAAAATATTATGGCACAAAATCAAACCACAAAAAAGCCCAGGTTACGCTATCTTTTTTGAGTTTTCTGAAAAAACAGCTAATCCTTCACTAGCATGAAGTGAAAATGAAAGCGTCAGACTTACTCAAGCAAAGGGGGAGGCGGGTTGTTTAAAATTAAATTCCCCTCTAGCACCTTGACTGTAATCCTAATGAACCACTACATTATCTCAATTAGCGGGGGGTAGGGTGGGGGGGGAATTAAGTTGAAAATGGGTACAATTTATTTTGTCATTGTTGCTAAGATTTCTTGTCAAAACAGACCTTGAGTTGAAAGGTATAATTCTAGCTTATCTTAGATTGTAACTTTATTTTAAACTTCTGTATTTTATTCCAGCAGAATCTTAAGTATACACTGTGTGCATTCCTCAGGTCTAGTCATATTAAATTCTGATGTTAGGCAGAAAGAGGAAACCATATACAACTAGATTAATTTCTCTCAAGGGAAAAGAGAACACATTAATAACCAAGATAATGTTTTCATAAATGTTGGAATCAAATGTGCCTTTTCACTTCTTCATCAGAAAACACATTAGGATAAAGTTATCTCACTTCCATCTCTGAGCCCTCACTGCTGAGAAAGAGTCTGTTTTCACTGAATGGTCAGAAAGATTTCTGCCCAGAACATCTAAATAGAACTAAAGCCTGTGTCCAGGTCTTGTGAGAATCAATGTATGTAACTGAAGGGCTGCTTAGTGTTCGCTGTAATGTTTTTGTTTTAAAGGATCTAAAGTTGTTATTTTTCAAAACATATTAAAATTATAATCCTAAAAGAAACTGGCCAACTGGAAAAAAAAAGAGTAATTTGGGGTTTTTATTTTTTTTTATTGCTAATCTCTTTAAACTGGAAAAAAAAGTTAATAACCTTAGATCATTAGCGGAGGGAAGTGGGGGTGGGGGAGAACTGAAGAAAAGAAAATCTCTCCTCATAAATACCTAAAGACTCAAATCATGCTGAAGTGTGCAATGGTGCTTAATGTCTTTAAGTTGCTGCATTTTGAATCATTGGAAATATACATAATGAAAATGGTTAACCTAGAAAGTGACAGCATGCTTACAAATTCTCCATGGTAATGCACATCATACATCTGAAAGTTCTTCTATGAATGAAGCTTTTTATGAATCATCAAAAGGAGCAACTAAGTGTGAATCTATTTGTTTGCATCATAAACCTCCATGTGCACCATAAAGTATGGAAGCAGAACCAACCATACGATGAACTGTAAACTGAAACAAAAACCCACCATTCACTTGGAAACAGTAACAGGGAAATCAGCAACCCATTTATTGTACTGAAACGAAGACAAGCAAGCCTGGTAAGAGCTAGCAGGACCTAAGAATTGAACTCTGAATACCAAAACATTCCTTCAACAAATGACTCAAAAAAATACTGAGAAGAATAATGATTACAGCTGACTTTTAAAACGAAAGAACCATGATTCATGTCAAAATCTGACTTAGGTCACCCAGATATCCAAGAAGATGTCTAAAATAATATTTAAGGGAATAACTATTTTGTGAGTCATTAAAATGTTATTGCAAAGCCTTTCCTGTGAAGATCTATAGTGCAGCCCAATCACGAACTCTATCTGATATAAACAATGATTAAACTTTTTCGGGATAGATTGCAAATTTAGAGTCTAAAATTTAAAGGGCAATTTAATATTTCCTATTATTGAAAGTGATTTGATTCAAATAATTGTGTCTCATAAATCATGATGCTTAAATTTTTAAATCATAATTTATTCATTTTTTTACTATTTTGTTTTGTTAAGACAGGGTCTCAAATAGCCTAGGCTGTCCTCAAAACTCCTATGTAGCTGAGGCTGACCTTGAATGCCTGAACCTTCTCCATCTCCCACAAAATGCCTAGTTTTACGCAGTGCTGGGGATCAAACCAAGGCTATGATACATGCTGGATAAGCACTCTGATAACCGACCTACATTCCCAGCCACTCATACTTCATATCTTAAAAGTAATCGTACTAATAAAAGTCTATACCCTATTTTAAAAAGTGTTCTGTCACCACAAATAGTCACTGCCACTAAATTACCCCAGTCAGAAACATTTTTTACCATCTCTCAGGAGACGTTTTACATGGTTGAAATTTCAATATCCCTCCAGTCCCCCAAATGTATGTCATTCTAATTATTGTTAGAGAGGGATGATAAAAAATAGATTAATTATGTTCTGAACTAGGAGTAGGAGCCTATAGATCATTCAAGCACAAACCTAGTAGGTCGGTTAATGCCAAGCACTAATATATCTTCCTAATATATCCAACTCACATACCCCAAACAAAAGGTGAAACTCACTTTAAATCTATGGAAGTGTCAAAAAAAAATCAGTCATAATTACGACAGAGTTTTTCCTTCATCATGTAATAATCAAAAGTGTAACAAAAAAGTTCCGTAGTTTTTCATGTTATTATGTATTGTTGAAGCCTGTATGTGTAGTGGCTTCTTGCCAACATCGCAATCATTCAAAGCCTTCTAGGAAAAAAAAAAAATGAACTATGGGATTCTTTTTTCCATATTTATGGCTTTGTCCTCTAAAGTCTAAAAATAGACAAGCCTCAGAGGGCGGGATCAGATCGCTTTCACATTTTCAGATAGAATAAATCTGTACACACACAACTACTTTGTGGGTTTCCCTGGGAAGCTTCGGTGGACCTTTAACAATGGGATATTAGAGGCCTTAATAACGCCACTGAAGCATGAAGAGTGCGTGGATTCCTGGACGGACTTTCTAAACTTGAAACCACACTGGAGGTTACAACTGAATTATCGAGAAACAAAAAGAACAACAACAAAAACCAACTAGGAAGAACCAGATGCTTTCATTCCCTCTGCCCGTCAGAGCGGCTAAGCACTGGCTCTAACTTTTGCTTCCATAAGGTTTCCTGCCAAGCCACTTCCGCCTGCCTCTTTTAGACGTTGAATTTCTGAATTTTTACTGTTGTTTTTGTGTCTTTTGTTTTGTTTTGCTTTTTAAGGAAAGTCTCATTCGGTGACATAAATATGCCCACCCTTCCCCCCTTGCTCAGGGATTCCATCCGGAGAGACAGACATGTTCAACTGCTTTCCAGCAACTGTTTAGGAGTGAGTGATAAGGGAACTGGAAGCTCCCTGGATAACTATAGCGCAGGCGGCTCATGGACGGCCCTGTCCTCACCTTGGGCTGCTGGGCTGCAAGCTCCTGTGGTCATTCTCCATCAAGGGAGACTTTGCAAACACAGGCCTCAGCCCCCTGACCCCAGTAGTCACGTGAGGGTTCTGGACAGTAACTCTGTTTGCCACAGCCCTATCTCCAGGGCCCAATATGAAGCTGGCCAAAGGGAGCTCAGTAAATATGTAAGTGGATTATTAAATGTTGTAAGTTTTATGTAGTGAATTGGAACAGCTCCCCACAAAAAATGATCACATTGGCAAGCCATTGAGCCATATGTAACCAGGAAGCACGCCGTTGCTGAAATAGCTCTATACTGGAGCTCTAGAGTCCACATGAACAATAAGGCCCTGACAATTAAGAATCTTACCTTTCTGGTGGCTCCTCCTCCATCAGTTCACCTGGCTGCAGATTTACAGCCTTTACGGTTATGGCCTCTAGTATCTAGTATTTCATAACTAGTTTTCCATGGGGTGAGAAAGCTAAGACCAGTCAAAGGATGATCTAATTATAATCCTCTTTCAGGAGTGGACCTCAATAATCGAGCAGGAAGCTCTGATAAGAATTCTTCAGATATGGTATTTCTAAATAATAGCTGGGATCAACTTATACCAAAACGTGCTTTTCTCATGTTTTAATGATCTCCTTTGTTGAAAGTTGTATAATTTTACTTTTCCAGAAGAGAAACTTTTTTAAGTTTTGATTTATAATATAATTCATGAAGGGGTTTGAGTACTTTCAAAGCTCTAGAACGTATTTTTGGTCTCTCATATTCAACATTTACCAAAAAAAAAAAAAAAAAAAAAAAGTTTTAGATGACCTAGAACTGGCCCCAAACTTGCTGTGTAGGCTAGGGTGACCTTGAACTTCTGACTTTCTTACCTGCACCTCCCCAGTGCTGGGATTACAGGTGTTCACCATCTTTCCAGTACAGTGACACAGAGGACCAAGCCCAGGGGTGTCTTAGGAGGCAGGCAAGCACTTTACCTTATCACCACAAACTTGTTTTCATCTGAGAAAATCACCCTGACTGCCCCCCTCGGCTTCTGTTGCTCCAGGCACAGAGACCTGTGAGAAGAGCGGGGAACCTAGCATTAAGGTCCCCTGGCTACAATTGTAACTCTTCCTGCACCTAGGCTGTTTTCCTCTTATCTTCAAGATGGGGATGGGGGAGGGGTGCTAATCCTTCTCAGGCGAGTTAAGGTGGCTCTGACTTCTGCAGCCCCCAGGCCCTGTGGCAAGCCACGCTCTACCAACGTCCCCACTGCAAGAACTTCAGAAGCCAGCCCTCCACAGGACAGGGGAACTTAGTCCCCCGATACATCCGCGGGCTTCCGCCAAGGCTGCGTGGCAAGGCGTTCAGCTTAGGTCAGCTTACCTCCCAGAGGTGCTGCGTGTTCCTCACCGCGCCGGTCTGCACTTTCTCCGGTGGCAGGAGCACGCCCTGGAAGGGCCCAATCCAAGTGCCCTGCTGGATCCTTTGCGCCGCACAGATGCCGTACGCCAGGCCGGGCACGGTGCTCGTGCACAGGCACACCTCCCGCGGCAGGTCCCGCAACCACTCGGGCAGCTCCGGCGGGGGTGCCGCGGCCGCAGCGCTGCTGGTGCCCACAAGCCGGCGCAGCGAGTGCAGTGGCCCGTGCATGGGACACTCCCCGTTGCGGTTGTCCGCGCACATGTCGCAACCTGTGGGAGACACCGGAGAAGGAGGGAAAGGAGCGTGTTAACCTGATCTTTTGTCTAGGGGTGGGAGGACGACCCTCGGGTAAACTCCCTAAACTGCAGCAGGTAAACCACCTGTTGAGGAGGGGGACACCAGAAGGGCTTCTAAGACCATAGGAGGTCGGAAGCGAACTCGCACCACACCCTGGGAATTTGCAACACTCAACTTTGTCGGCTGGGTTCAACGCAAGGCTTCAGGGTTGGGTTTGGATGGGTATGCTTTCCAGGTTCCTAACGCTCGCGCCTTTTGCTTCCGGCCCAGGTTGCCTGCATTTCAGCTTCTCTCTCTAACCCTCACCGGCTCAGGCTCGTGCGCCTTCTCCCTACCCCAGCGTTTCAGGGTGTGGTTATCCTTGCATCCTCAAGAAGTCTGTCTCTTGTCCAACCGGTTATCTCAGATAGTCGCCTGAGTGTTTGGTTCAGCTCTTGGGCTATCAAAGCGGGAGTGACAGGTACAAACGTTGGACTCCGCAGCTTCCTAGTCTACCGCCTGAGCACAAGCACCAATCCCCGTTACGGTCCCAGTCTCTGTCCAGCGCCCACTCCAGGGACTCCAGCCATCAAGGATAAGTAGGAACTGGGGCATGAGTGTGGGTATCAGTAGCGATTGTACGCGCAAGCTATCCCCAGAGGCCAAACCAAATAGGAAGCTTAAGAATCAGGGTAAAGGGTCTTTAATGATCGGGATAATGACTCAATGAGCAGGCTGGAAGACTGGGCCCTAGTTAAATGTGATTGTCTCATTAAGTGAAGCTGTTGCCGAAGCTGCTCCTAACTTGGCCCAGGGCAGACAGCTCGCAAGGGGATTCCTACCCTCCAGGCGTGCCTCTCCAGAGCACCCAGTGTCGTTTGATTCCAACTGGGCGGAAAGGGCCAGGCAGACACAAGAAGCTAGGCTTTCAGCAATCCTGCTGTCGGAATCGCAGAGCCTAAGGGTTATTAATGGGCCTGGCGGAGCCGCTGTGTCTGCTCCCTGGTGCGGCTAGCTTGCTCAGAGGACCCCCGCCTGGGCAATTCTGCCTCCTGAGTCCAGCCTCCCTGGGGGACCCTCAGAGTCCTCTTGCAGCTGAGCCCTGTGGCACTGCCCGAAGCACTTGGTACTCCTGTACTGGTGGAGATGGTAAGAGCCAGGCATCAGGGTACCTAAATTGCCCTCGGGGCTTGTTGGCATCTGCCCCTTGCCTTCATGGCAGCTAGCCCTTGTAGATCACTCCAAATGTGCCAGATCTGTGCTGAAACTGCACAACCACCCCCAGATACTTGTGACAAAGCAAATCAGTGAAGAATTTTCCACAAGGAACATTCAATCACAACCCAGAATGGAGCCAGAACACTTGGCATGCCAACTGCTTGATAACAGTGGTTGGATATGTGAGCATCCTATCCCACCGGAGGTGGTTCCAGTCAGCTGTGTCCTCTCCTCAATAAGCGGCCACTCTGCTCCAGCTAAGATTCCTCAAGGAGTGAGGAGACCTGCTGGCTGCAACTTCTCAGCAGCTGTCCTCAAGCCTTCTATAAGAAGCAACATCTTGTTTCTGCAGGTATGCCTTCCTTAACACAAAGACACTCACTCCCTGCCAGCAGCACAGGCTAATGTGAGGACTCTTCAAGACTCCACTTTTGACCCAACGGCCCAGATGAGAGCACACTGCCACTCACTCACAAGTCAGCCATTCAGAAACACGTGTATTTCACTCAGACTCTCCAACTTTCACTTGTGAACAACAAACAACAAAATCAAGATATTGTAGAAACAAAAATGACAAAAAAATGTCATCCCTGAATGTCTTCTGTGTGTCCTGCCTTTGCCTTGCAGCAAGCTGCCACTCTAGTATCTAAGTACCACGATTCCCATTTTGTAGACAAAGCAAGACATTTCAGGGGCACAGAAATAGGACCAAGGAAGGGCCAAGAAACTAGAAAGAGACAGTAAAAAGATTCACATCTCAGTCAGCCTGACCCTGAAGCCTTCAAAGGCAGAGATTCTGAAAGACTAATGAAAGCCAGGAGAATTTTATATACCAACTCATGACTCAATCAATAGAATTGAAAGAGTTTACTGATGTAACCATTTGGGGGCCACGAAAAGAACTCTGGCATGATTGAGTTATAGAGTTACAGGGATAGGTCTCTCTCTCTCTCTCTCTCTCTCTCTCTCTCTCTCTCTCTCTCTCTCTCTCCCACACACTCTTGAGCTTGAAGAAGCTAAAGTATAATAACAATAGGGAAATACATAGCCACTGTCCATAATTTTTAATGTGTCTGACTTGGCAGACGTGTTAAAATGACTTTTCACCACCTAAGCAAAAAAAAATAGCTTTTAAAAAAATGACAATAAAAAAGGCAATGTGCCCATGAAAATAAATATAAATCACCCCCAGGAAATGCTTAACTGATAATTCCTTTCTGGTTCATTCAATTAAGAGTGAGAAGCCAAAAAAAAAAAAAAAAAAAAAAAAAAAAAAAAAAAAAAAAAAAAAAAATTCACTACTCACAGCTTAATAGCCTATGCCAAAAATTCTATCAACTTCCCCCTTGTCTACCTGGAGCATCATGTCATCTATGTGAATAAACAGATTAGAAGCAATTAACTCCAGCCACTACCCCACAGACAAGAAGCACACTTCAATAGTATTTGGAATGAATGGCAGATAACTCATGTCTCAATCCCACTTCAACTTGTTAGGTTTCATTTTTCTCTACAGCATACTTTAAAAGTAGCATTTTTTTGTAGAGTATTGGAAAACTGGGACACCCCCCCCCCCAATTCTAGAAGACTATATCCTAAATTCACTGAAAAGCAGCCAAGTCAAGTCCATGATAATTAGTTCACTTAATATGAGTCTTAATAAAAATGTAAAAATATTCCTCCCAGAAAAGTTGACCAATTGCCATCAAAATAAAGTTATGTACAGTCTCCAACATTTTTACCACACAAAATCTCTCTTGGACTGAAAATATTTATATCTAACCTGTCTCAGAGTCCCAGAGGAGCCTGGGGAAGTTTTGAACAAGTAACTTTTTTCTCAGGATTGACAAATAGTCACAAGTTGGCACGCATAGTATTTTCTAGCCAGTGAGCCACAAACACACACATAAAAAGGTTTGAAGGAAAAGCCAGCTAGATCTTCAAACCTCTCCCCACACCGCATTCCAGGCCTTTAAAAACCAGGGATTTTTGTACAAGTTTACAATTATTATTCACAAGAGTAGAGAATTATAGCAATCTAGGTCTCCCTTAGAGCCCATTTGCCTAGGCTAGGGTCCATGAGCAAGGGAAGAGGGAGGCTGTGGGTTACAGGCTTGCCCACCTACTGACCTCAGAAGGCCAAAGCAGGCCTTTTGAGTGGAGAGAGATCCTTCACTCTTGTTTTTCACATCTTTCTTATGGTGAGAATGCTCTCAGTTTTTGTTGTTGTTTTCAAGTGCATGCACTATTTTTACCACTTTAAATGAACCTGCTAGCAAAACAGGCAATGGATCTATTTTCTAACATTTCACTTCTAATTCTAGGAACGGTGAAATATAAAGCACTTCAGGGTTGTTGTTGTTTTTTTTTTTTTTTTTTTTTTTTTTTTGCTGTCTGCTGAAGATCTGAGAAACAAGTATGGGTGCCGGTAGGGCTCTACCCACAAAGCTTGGCCCAGGAGTACCTCCACACTAGGCTTTCACTGTGCAAAGTCCCTCCTGCACTCACAGCCTTCTGTTGAGCAAACCACAGAGTAACTTGGAAGCCTGCTGAGCAGGTCTCGCTCAGGCTGTAAATCCTTCTTGGCGGCAGCAGACAGGGTCGCAGTCCTCAGTCCAGTAGGCCAAGCCCTGAGGGGCCGGGATGCATTGATCGGTCCCGGGAGTGCCACCTTCTGGCAACCCAGAGTCCAAAGCTCCCAGGGGAGAGTAAAGTGAACTGAGGGTCCTAGGGCAGCCCGGCATGCGGGCCACTCTGAGTTGCTCCCCAGGGCTCCATCACGCCCTGCTTTCCGGTGTGCCGAGACTGGGTGTCTTTGCCTCCAAAGGATTCGGTTTAAAAGCCTTACCCAGCTTCTAGCTACGAAGGGCTCCCAGGGGTGGCGACTGCCAATATATTCGGAAGACCCAGCCGTAATGGACACCCATTGCAATGGACTCCTTAAAATAGAGAATCGCCTAGCCTCAGTCATCCTCACCCACCCCAAAGCAAGTCTAGGCGGACCAGAAACCAAGCAGCCACCAGGAAGAAAAGTCCATTGTGGCAGCCCAGCTCACAGGGATGCTCTGGGGATTCTGGCCGCCGGCAACACGCAGAAACCCGGGGCTTTCTCAGCCTAGACTGCCGCCTTGGCCCAGGGACCAATGAAAGAGACAAAGAGGGAGGGAAAGAGGGAGGGAGGGAGAAAACGTGGATTTTATTTGTCTCCTGGTGACTGTATTAATAAATTAAATGAGAGCGCCAGGGTGTGAGGGTGAGAGAATATTGCACAGAGATAAACCTGGCCGCCCTCTGCCCCTGCGAGGCCGCCATATACAAGGCGGAGATGATGAATAGGAGCTGCGAGAGGAGATCGAAGAGGGTCTGGGCTGGCTCCACTCTCTCCTACAAAACTATAGGGCAATTAATTGTGGCTTGTCCCCTCATCCTTCATCTCCTGGTGGCACATATCGATGGAGATTACTGCTGATGGACCATTTTATCACCTTAAATAAACAGTCGCCACCTCTTCTAACCTCAATCTAATATATGGCTCTATGTTCAGTTTCAGGGCTCTGGATAAAGAATGATGTAAAATAGCTAAATCATGTGTGTTACGAGGTGGGGCTGGGCCTGCACATAACACGTGAGAAAAAGAAAAATAGAACAATATAAAAAGCCGGCACACCAACACTGAAGTCCTCCCCCCCTGGGGACCAGGTCTGAAATCTATAATAAATTGCTTGCTGGTCGTTAACAACCAGATTCGCTGGACGGGAGTGGAGCAGAGGGTGTGTCTCCTTGGCACTAAGATCCCGCTGGCAGGTTCTCAAGAAGTACCCCCCAACAAAGAAATGAGGAGAGATTAGGATAAAGTCAGAACCCACGACACTCCCCAGTTTCACACACACTACACACACACACACACACACACACACACACACACACACACACACACACACCGTACAGCCTCCTGCAGCCCCCCACACACCAATCCTTCCCAATTCTCAGTCCCTTCATTGTGGCACTGCCACCAATGAAGCCTGCAACCCTGCTTCCACGGCCATGGTCCCCCCAAAACGGTTCCCTGCACGGGCAGTGCTTTTCTAAATTCGAAGGGTCAGAGAGCAGCACCCCAACACTGAGAAGGTGTAGGGTGACCCAAGTCTATGCCTAGACATCAGAACAGGTTCATTTCCAGCCTCCTTCTCAGTAGGAAGCCAACTGTCTTCACAAAAAAAAAGATTATGAAAAGTTAACTCTGCTGAGATGACTAGGACTCTGTGCACATACTCCGGGCATGCCCAGTAACGACCTCTCACTATCCTCCAGGAGTACTGACGGGGGTCTCAGGAAACACATCAGCTACCCAGAATTTGAGAAGAGGCCACAGGGATGCAGCCCCAGGGATCAGGCAGCCCAGCAACAAGAAAGGGCTGTGTGTGTATTGCAAGACACAGCCCTTGACTTTTAAGGGAGGGAGTGGCAGCGGCTGAGCCTTGAGAGCTTTGGTGGAAAGTGTACCTCAATCACTTGCGGGCAGTTCAATGATAGGAACCTACTGAAGGAGCTCACTTGGGCTAATTTGTGTTCCGTGTGTTTGAAAATCTGACAGGAAAGAGCTACAAGTTTATTCGCTGTGGCATCTGCCATACATGCCAACAGGGTCTCAAGGTGTGGCTGAACAGTGGTGGTGTGCGTTACTAATCACAGGCAAAAGGAAGGTAAGAAATGAAGAGATTTTTTTTTTTTTGGCCTAGTAAGAAAAAAACGAGAACTGACTTGACACTCTTTTAACACAAAGTCACAAAATGATGCTATGCTAAATGATCACGAAATTTTTAGAGAGAAATGGCAGAAGAAAAAAGAAAGAAAGCTAAGGAAATCTACACCTGAGGAATTAAAATGACTTCCTTCACTCCCCCACCCCCACCCCGCCTCTTCTTCTCACCCCTCCCTGCACGGAACACAAATGAGAGGAAGCTTTTGTTTTCAGCCTTTCAGGGACCAAAATACCAACACCCCAAGCCCCTGGCAAGTTTTAAGTCTTTGCATTTCGGGTTTGTTGGAAACGCCTAGTTAGATTAAACCCATTCACTGCTCATCTTTAAAACACACCACACAGCGTGTGGCTTTAAGAGTCCCAAGTTTACTTGCCCCCGACCAGGTGCCGTTTTCTCGTTACCCAGAGCTACGGTTCCCTTTCTGTTTTTCTCCCAACCGTCCCTTTAATTAGCAAGCAAAGTGAAGTGTACCAGTCTAACTTGCTTCTGTCTTGTCTCCTACACTTTGAACACTGAATCAATTCCATTTGACTCAAAAGAGGATACCAGACGATGAACAAAATGGGAATAAATAAAACCACAAATCATTCTCTCTTACACAAGGTGGGGGAAGCTATCTAGATAACAAACTGGTTTATACACATATGTCAATTAGTAATCAGTCCTGATCCTTTCTCTGATTGGTGGGTGTTTTCTCTAGTGAAAACATGTTAGATCTCACTGCTGCGTTGTAAAAATCATACATAGCACAACACAAAGCCAGGGTTAGTATCTTTTCCAACCCAGATTTCATATAGAGAAGTAACTGCAAGCTTGATAAGGTCTTCCCAATCTACAATGATTATATTTCGCTTAGCAGTAAGAACTACTGCCAAGTTTTCTATTTCACACTTAAAAAGTACTGGTTGTAAGACAACATCTGGAAGAAATTCACGAGGAAACACACATCTTTGAACACGATTAGGACAAAGCAATTTTATAAAATGTTCTGAAACCCAAAAATACACGAGTCTTTTTAAATGCAGCACCAAAAAAAAAAAAAAATGGAATTGCATCTCCTGTCTTAAAACACTATTTTACCATGAGACGCTAGAAAGGAAATGGTAAACAGTATTGCTTCTTTGGTTAGCAATTGCTGTCTCCATCGCAATAACTATTTCAAGAAGAGTGATAAGCCCCAGTTATGAGGCTAATAATACCCATTGTTTTGTTTGTTTGTTTGTTGTTTATCAAAAACAACAGCCTAGGAAACTTTAAATTACTATTCTAATTATATTATTTTGTTTTGGTAAGAAGTCAAGAAGTTTATAGTGTGATAGGCATTCTGCAGGGGGCAACTTATTAAAATAGAATAGAAGCAAATAGTCAATATCTACTTTTCTTATACAGAAGCCAAATGAAGAATGGATTGAAGAAAACCGATGGATATATGCTGCTCTCAATGTGACTCTCACTCAGTTGCTTTACGGTTCGGTCGGAAGTTTTCGGAAAGTTAACACATATGTCAAAACCCTAGGTGAAGTTAATCTATCATAACTTTTGAAATTACCAAGGAGTGCAGATGCACATCAAAACACATTCTTGATCCTTCATCGAGGATTTTGTTTCAAAACACCAGAATACAACTGTGCTCAGGACAAGCGTTTGGAATTGTGACTACAGAAAGCTTGGGAAGTTCTGATATGTAGCCAGTCACTCCACCGCTTACTTGAAAAAAGAGGTAATTTTTTTTTAATGAAATTGCCATCAATATTAACTTAAATTTTTTTTTCTGTTTAAACAAATAAAGCAAGATGGATTGCAAACATTTGCAGGATCAAGGATTGCTGGAGAAGGCGGGATCCGCAAAGAACGACACTGTCCTGACATCGGAAATTTTCTTCTCATTTAGTGAGCCCCCCCCCTTCTTTAGCTTCTAAATAAATAGTAGCTTACTTTTAATACCTACCTGCAGGAAAAAAAACTGACCCACTGCTACAAAAAACAGAAAAGTAAAAGAAAAAGAAAAGAAAACTCTTCGACATTCACGGGGCCCAAAAATGAACTGCCACCGTTAACTCCGAAGATTGGAATAAAGACCGAGAAGCAAACCCTGGTGTCCATGCTTCCTCGGAAACCGGGAGAGTCCCTCCCTCGTCCCGATCAGGGCAGGCTGGGTCCACCCTTGCAATCCCGGCCGCCAGCGGCCAGTACCCGCCTGTCCCGGAACACTGGGCGGCAGGAGGGCGGAGGGCCACAGGGGTGGTAAAGTCTTGTGGCTGTGAAGCAGGGTCCGAAGAGAGCGGAGGGGCAGAAGCCCGAGGTGACACCCGGGCACCCGTTCCTTCTCAGATGCCAGAAAAGTTTTGCTACAGTGATCTGGGTGGCGGGGGACAGCGCCTTGGACCAAGATCCCCCCCCCACACACACACACACCCTTCACCCGTGTCATTCTCCTGGGACCCCACCCGCCTCCTCCACCCTTGCCTGCTGTCGCCCTCGCCGGGGCAGAGCGGGCGAGCTTGGGCTGCGGCTACGTACGGTTGTTGGGGTCGCTGGTGTGCTGGTTGAGCGGGATGATTTCCATGCGCTGCTGGCCGTACAGGTAATAGTCCAGCTCCTCGGCGCTGCAGCGGAAACGCGGGACGCCCCGGCTGTCCCCCGCGCCGCCGCCACCGCCGCCGCCACCGCACTTAGCGGGCCCAGGGCCCGTGGAGGCGCCCAGGCACAGGTCCTTGGGGGGCAGCGGCTCCGCGGCCACCGCAGCAGCAGCTAGGGGCGCGAACACCGGCATCTGCGCCACCGGCAAGGCCGAGAGACCCGCCAGCGCGGCGGCGGCAGCGGCGGCGGCGGCGGCGGCTGCAGGGGTTGGGGCGCGCCGAGGGGAAGCGCGGTCCCGCTGCCTTTGAGCGGGCCGCCGCCGCCTCCGTGCGGGAAGAGTTGCTGCCAGTGCTGCAGGTAGGCTGGGTCCACTTTGAGGAAGGCCGAGCCACCGGGGTCCCCCGGCTTCAGCATGTCCGACGCCTCGAGCTGGGGAGGGGGAGCAGAGGAGAGCAGGGAGGAGCGCGGCGTGAGCGAGAGAGACCCTGGCCTGGACTAGAGGGGTGTGCGGGAGGACCGCGGGGACCTGGGTGGAGCACGAGAGTCCCACACGGCTCCGGCAGCACCGCCCGCGGCCGCGGCCCCAGCTTCCCAACTCCGCCCGGGCGCAAAGTTTACTCGCAAGCCGCGGTGCGGCGCAGAGGTGGCTGCGGGCACCGGGCGCTGCCTCGCAGCCTGCGAACCCGGCTCCTACCCTGATAAACTGGGACCCCCCAAGACCTGGCGCTTTTCCGGCACAACTCCAAGGCAGGACGTCGCCCCCGCCCTCAGCCAGCGCCTTGGAGCCAACCCCAGGCGAAGTGGCGCAGCGCTGGAGCCGCGCTGGCCCCAGGCGCCGGGAGGCGGGACAGTCTCGCCCCCCGCCCCCTGCCCCAGACCTCCAACCTTTCGGTGCGAGGGGCCCACGACTCGTCACCCTAATCCAGCCCCGCCGTACCTGGGAACCGAGAGCAGCGGCCAGTGCTAGCGTGCCTGCGTTCCGGAGGCCGTGTCGATGCACGAGCGGAGAGTGGGAGCCCCGGGCGAGCTACATGACCCCAAGGCGGAGGAGGTGGAGGGTCTTAGAGACCCCGCCGCCTGGAACCCTCCCGGGATGCCAGCAAAAGACGCCGAGGCCCGCCGAGGCCCGCGGAGGGCGCAAGAGCAGCTCCGCTGAGAGCGCGGGAGCGCTGGAGGACTCGGGACCGAGCCGCCTCGGGCAGCTGCGCTCGGTCGCTTCGGCGCTTCGGCTCTGCTCTGGCAGTCCCCTGGCTGGACACGTGGGTTTTACGACAGCACCAAATACAAGTGTGTGCGTTCGTGTGTGCGTGTGCGTGTGCGTGTGTGTGTGTGTGTCTATGTGTGTGTGTGTACCCGCGCGCGTGTATGGAGAGACAGAAGGAAAGAAGGGAGTGGGGGAGAGGGAGGGAGGGAGGGAGGAGAGAGAGAAAGGAAAGGAAGAGGAGAGCAGAGAAGAGGGGTGAGGAAAGAAGAGGAGCGAAGAGGAGAGGAGGGAGAGGAAAGGAGAGGAGAGGAGGGAGAGGAGGGGAGAGGAGGGAGAGGAAAGGAGAGGAGGGAGAGGGAAGGAGAGGCAGGAGAGGAGGGGAGAGGGAAGGGCAGGAGGAAGAGGAGAAGGCGAGATCAGGCCAAGGGAATGGAGGGGAGCGGAGCGGGAAGAAGGAAGTTCAAACTGGGCTGGACCCGCGGACACCCCGGTGCGTCTCCGCCTCTCCAGCACCGACGCCCGCACACACACACACACACACACACACACACACACACACACACACACACACACACACACACACACTTTTTAAAATTTATTTTTTTGACGTGAGGTCTCCGGCTTGTTTGTGGTCCTTTTTCTGTCCGCAATGTATCTTCTAGGTGCGGGCTCAGTGCCCTGATGCCGGAAAGCGCTGGAAACGCACAAACCAGACAGGCACCTCTGGGTCGGCTGGTGTCTGTTGTGGAAGCAGCGCTCACCGGAGCGGCAGGGGATGGGGGGGGGGTGGGCTTTAGACCCAGTCTCCTGCACGAGTTTGCTTTTCAGCCCGGTTCAGATTTTCCTGGAATTCTGTTGGGTGCCAGAGTTGACTCGCCCGCCAAGCAATCTCTAACATAAATCCTCCGGAGAGAAAAGTTGGGGGTGAGACGGGGCACGCTGTGCGCTGGCCTGAAGCCCTCTGTCTGCAGCCTGAGCAGGAGGGCTTGGGAGCGAGGGTCTCTAAAGGGCAATCCGGCCCCGGCAGGACTCCAGCCTGGCCAGGAGTAGAGAGGGAGCTGCAGCGGAGCCTGCACCTAGTGCCCAAGAACCCCCATTCCAGGCTTGCCTTCCAGGATTTCCCACCTCTCCTTGATGGCACCTCGAGCCTTATCCGTGTCTATGGAGTTACCCCTCTGCTTCAGCTGTCCCGACATCTGCCTATGCCTGCCCTGGGAGGTCAAATACCAGCTTCTTTAATTCAAATCTAGCGTTAGTGGTACTGGATGCAAGCGCAGCCCATCCTACCACGCCATCTCCCAGAGCTTTGAGCCGCGGCAGCTCTACCACGCATGATCTGGCGTCCACCCCTTTAGGCACTTGCCACAAACTCTTAGCTTTCTGGCATTCATAGTACTCAGTGGCAGAGGACAGTGACAGACTGTGTGAAATTGGCCAACTCCGGGGCTTTCTCCTGGCCAGGCTTCTGTCCACACCTTAAAGGGGGGCGGGAATGGCATTTATCTTTCCGCAAACAACCCAATTTATCTAACAGTCTCCATCCCGAACAAGTAATCTCCATTCTTTCCTAATTTCTGCTCCTTTCGTTTTCTCTTCCCACCCCTCATTTTGTCCGAGCCTGGGAAACGCGCTGTTTAGACTTTGTCCGGGTCTCAGGCAGAACGCCTCCCTTCTGGTTGGAGCCGAGTTGGACCGAAAATGTTTTGACTGGCGTCGTTATGACAAGGTCATCCGTCATTCTTGGATAGATTGATAGCACCCAAGTCTGAGGCAAGCACCACGAGGGAAAACCCACTGCGTTGTAGACCCCGAGGCTAACCAGGCAGTCTTCGAAGACTTCAGACAGCTCTCCCGAGAAAAGGATGAAGTTCCAGGCCCCTTTCTATTAATCTGCGTCCAGAATGGCTGGGGCTGATAGGACCCCGGGAGACGGAGCAAACTCTCTTTCTCACATTCCCCTAGTTCACTGCGGAGAGACCTGGACCTTTCTCAGGTCTCTGTGAGGAGCAGGGAGCTCTGGGAATGGAAGTCTGGACACTGCCGGGACACTGACCAAAGCAAGCTGTTTCCTAGAGTTGGGTGCTCAGAAATGGAAGTGCCAAAGAATGACAAGCCTCTTCCTTCCCTAGAAAATAACAAGATTTTTGAGATGGTAGTTGCAGCAGGTGCTTGGAAGGCTACTCACACCGGGGCTAGAGAGGGTGGGGGGGGGCCTCAAGTTCATCCCAGTAAAAGAAGCTGCGGTTAAAGGTTGCATAGGACGTGGAATGCACATACATTTAGTATATCTAGCAACCACGCCGGCAAGGCATTATTAACCCCCATATTGCATACAAATGGTCATCGGAAGGTTCTGAAACGTGAGGTAGGCTGCCCAAGGTCGGGCCACTAATGAATGATGGAGGCCCATTCAAACCCTGCTCAGTGGGCTGCCAAGTGGATGCTTCTAACTGCTCTAGTCCAATCTCTACTCATTACGTTGAGCCTAAACTAGGAGGTGGTGGAGTATCATAGGAGAGGTCTGGCATGCTTCAGGGGTCAGGGATTGAACAGATGAGGTGGTAAAGGCCCTCTCTTTCATTACGCCTGCTACAGAAGACCTGACTTGTCACGTTGGCTGAAAATCCCACACTCACCCCTGCCAAGCTTTCCAGAGGTACTGGGCACAAGTAGACAGTGAGGAGATGGGGCCTAGGTACCCTCTAGTACTAGGGAACTTCCTTGAAGGAGGAAGGCACTTACTGCTCCCTTAGCAAATGAGGTCTCCAGGGGAGCGTCCACAGCCTGGACATCCCCCGGTGTCCCTGTGGCAGGTCCAAGGCGCTGACTGTGACCAAGGTCAGCTCTGTCCTTGAGCTTCCGGTTCAGCACAGTGAGCCTCGGCCAGCCGCAGGTGACACTAGTAAAGTCGCTTTGTCACCTGGCTGGCTGACCCTCGCAGGCTTGGTCGTGATCAGCCTGGAACATCTAGCGGTTTTTTTTAGAGAGTGAGCCCACTGACCGCAAGGGGTGTGTGTCCCTCAGAACTGTTGCCTTCTCTCCTTAGAAGATGGGGGAACAAATCACCCGGACCACTTAGGAAGCGATCAAACCTGCATAAAAATCCATCGCTCCCGAATCGATGGGTGAATATTTGCTAGGAATTTGTTCCAGGGGAATGAATAAGGAGCGAGAAGAGCGGGTCAGATGCAAAAGGGGGACAACAGTGGTGTTTTTCTTCATTGATTAATGACCTCTAAAATAAAACAAGTGGGAAGAGGAGTCGGGATCGATAAATTAACTGCCCCAATTTATCATTTCTCCAGGATTTTCCCCCGGAAAATTCTCCCTAGGAAGCCCCATTGTACCCTAAGCTGAGCAGGGGAAAAAATGGAGCCAGCAGCAGAATAGGGGGAAAGTGGAGGGAGGACAGGAAAGCAGGAAGGTGGTCTACACAAAAGATCCCCCCCCCATGTGACTTCGTTTGACATACAACTAAAAAAGTTTGCCTTCCATATTAATTACTTTTTCCTTGGTGGGGGAGGGAAACAAATGGCCGTCACCTTTGACAGGACTCCAATAAGAGATTCAACAGCTCTCCATTCTGCCCTGGGTGCTCCTGTTTCTAGGTTTAAGGTCACGGGCGGCTGAGTTAATAATTCATTAATATAGACATTTATTCAGAAGGTTTTTTCTGAGGTCTGCCCTCCGTGCCTCCTCTTGGAGATTTATTTTCCTGAGAAGTGCATCATGTGTGTACGTGGCGGGGGGGGGGGGGCTGCTGGGAAAGGACAGGTAGGAGAAAAGAGGGGGGACTCTGGACATCCTGATTAGCCATCCGAGTGGGTAGTTCCCTTCAAGTTGCCACCAAATTCCTGGTCAAAACTGTTAGAAAACGTGTCATCCCTTAGGAAAAGGATCCTGGCCTCTGCTGGCTCTTTCCCCACCTCTACAGAGGTCCAGAGAACTCCTTCCTCTCGTGATTTATTGTCTGAGGGAGGGAGGCTCAGAGAGGACCCTGGAGTTAGAGCAAAGAGAAAGCTCTCCAAAGCTCCCTCTACCTTTCCCAGAGGAGGTTTCCCAACTTTCCCTGATCTGGGATCTGGAAATTTCCTTCCTAGCGGCACAGGCAACAGCAGGTGAATACTTTGTCTCTCAGAAATGGAACCCTGGGGGCATCACAAAGCAATGCCTGAGGCCCAGGTCCTCAGGATTACATCTAAGGAGCTAGAGGCTGGGAGGAAAGGATGCTGAGGAAAGCCAGATGGAGAGGTGTGCTGTGGAAGGGATGGGAGGAAGGGGGGAAAAGAGCAAACCTGAGTAGAGGATGAGGCACACAGTGGCCAGGGCTGGGCTTCTCCTAGAAGGTATCATTTGATTGAGATTAAAGAAAGGAGAAGCCAGTTTTTTCGTCTGGATGGGGCACTCCAAGGCCCCATGCTAAAGCAGTAAAGGGTGTTTGGGGTAAGGACTCTACCTCTTGAGCTCCTGGCCTCGCTGTCATCTCTCAAGGCACTGTGAGCTACTGGATGTGCTTCCGGATCATTCATTCACGCTTCCCATCAGTTGGAGTTGCCTCTGCGCCTGGTGGCCTAAACTGACACAGCGATCTACTTCCAACCATCTGGGTCTAAATTTCTTCGAAGATGAAACGAAAGGATAAGACTAATGTGACTTTCCAGCCTAAGCTTTGTATGAAATGGGCACTGCCTTGTAACCACCCTGTACTCTGTACCCACTCCCTAGAGGTCAGATGCCCAGTGTGTGAGATGTTCTGGAATCAGGGAAGTCCACCGTTTATTTGAGCCATTGTGGTCTTCTCACCGATTCCTTTGCACTCACATTTCTTTTACTCAGTGATAGAATCACCGTGGGAAATAGAAGGGAGTGGGGTGGGTGAGGTGGAAGGCATTTTCAGCTCCTCAGGCAGAATCTGCTCTGTCCTCGGATGATGCCTTGGCGTTCTGAAAACAGACACACCATCCTCTTCAGAGACACAAACAACTTAGATGTTCCCTTAGCTTTTTCCTACTACATTCTGTCCTATGAAGGCAAGCTCTTCACGTTACCAAGTCAAAGATGGCCTTTGGAGCCAGGAGGTCAAAATAGCCTGTTTCTAAGCATGGTCTTTCATCCTCTGCCAGGACCATGGCAGACAGCACCTGTTCACTTGAAATGCAGCAGGACCCCTAGCTCCTTTCACTTGGGTCACCCAACACCTGTCGCTCACACAATGCTTCTTAGACACCCTGGGCCTGGATTTGGATTTGACCCACTGATCTTGAGGCAAAAGGCTCCACAGTATGTTGCCTATCCCTGGGGCCAGCCAGTCCATTTTCCCAGGGAAGCCTCTATCTAAATATATCCTTTCCATTCACAGGAAAATCAGCTATTATAATTTGCTGTTTTCCTGAATTAAAAAATTAGCTATGACAGTTGAGTCGTCTAAAGACTTAATGAACTACCATTGGGTTTAAAAAAAAAAAAACCAGCAGTCTCCCTCCCCTTTCTCTCTTTCAATCTTGAGATGACAAGGAAAATGTAAATAATTAGACAGGGTAAACTGCTCCTTCAGATATTCAGGTATTTATTGCACTGTCTTTAGCCCACTACCCTTTTCCTGGGAATTGTGTCTTCGGTTTTTCCAGGAGTCCATAGAGATACACACCCAACCAAAGTAATCTGCAACAACAATAAAATACTATCTCTTGAGCACCTGTGGTGTAGGGAGAAATGACTGATAGACACCTTTGGGGCAATCTTCTTTGAAGTTCTTCTAGCAAATGCTGCCTGGTTTTAAGAGAGTCCTCCATTGGTGACTAGGTTGTAACCTAAATCTATGAAACCTGTATACAAGTGGTTCTCAACCTGTGGGTCTCAACCCCTCTGGGGAGTCGAACAACCCTTTCACAGGGGTCACATAATATCAAATATTTGCATTATGGTTCATAGCAGTAGCAAAATTACAGTTATGAAGCAGCAATGAAAATAATTGTATGGTTGGGGGTCCCCACAACATGAGGAACTATATTAAAGGGTCACAGTTAGGAGGGTTGAGAACCACTGTATACTTATATGTACAGTGTATACTGTGAGTTATAATCAGGATGAGGCAAAGCATGTAGCAGTGCATCTGTTAGGAATTAGGAACAGATGCCATGTAGATTTGCATCCTGAGGATTGCCAATTCCTGGTGCATGATGGGTTTCCCCTGAATGCGTGGCAACAGTCGTTAGGGGTCAGGATGGCTTCCAGTTAGTTCCATAAGCAAGCAGGTCCTGAGGTTCTTTTCAGACACCCTGTACTCCTAGAGCAGTGGTTCTCAACCTTCCTAAAGCTGTGGCCCTTTAATGCAGCTCCTCATGTTGTGGTGACCCCCAACCATAAAATTATTTCTGTTGCTACTTCATAGTGTGATTTTGCTACTGTTATGAATTGTAATGCAAATATTTGATAGGCAGGACATCTGATATTTGACCCCCAAAGGGGTCACCACCCACAGGCTGAGAACCACTGCCTTAGTGGCGCTCGCATTTACCTGCAGATGCTCTGGGAAGCCTATCTGCCCCCCATCACACTCTCTCCTCCGTGGATTCAGATTCTCACTCACCTCTGGACACTAAGCCTGTATTTAAGAACTATTTGCAATGAGTCTATATTCTCCATGTATAAGCCTCGTGCTGGTTAGTTTTTGTCCACTTGACCCAAACTGGAGTCACTTGGGAAGAGGGGAACCTCAAGTGAGGAATTGCCTCTATCAGATTGGCCTACCATCCCTTTGGTGGAGCATTTTCTTGATTCCTGATCGATGTGGGAGGGCTTAGTCTGCTGTATGCAGAGCTACTTCTGGGCAGGTGGTCCTGGGCCGTAGAAGCAAGCAAGCTGAACAAGCCATGGGGAGCAAGGCAGTCAGCAGCATGCCTCCGAGATGTAGGCTTCAGTTTCTGCCTCCAGGTACCTGCCCTGGCTTCCTTCAACCGCGTACTATAAAACCACGAGGGGAAATAAACCCTTACCTCCTCCAGCTGCTTTTGGCCATGGTGTTTCTCAGAGCAACAGAATGCAAATTAGAACAAGCCTGTAATGAAGAAGAAAAAATAATAATAATATTCTCCTTTTCTTTGGGGACATGGGAAGTTTGTTTTCCAGGCTAAATGAAGGTCATGGAAAAGTCAAGAGTGAAACACTGGTGCCTCTGTGGAAGCGTTTCAAGGCTCAGCCGTCCTTTATGGAACCAGGCCCTGGAGCCAGCAAAAGAGTTCAGAAGAGAAAACCATTCCTCTGGCCTAGGGTGATCAAGAAAGCTTCAGAAATGACATGCACCACACAGACTTCTCTGCGACATGTGGGCAGAGTGGGAATGACAAAAGGCGTTCTAGGAGAGGTCACCTGTCTAAGCAAGGAGCCCACAGGGGCCCTACACAAGGGGCACCTACTGCAAGGTGCCGAAATCCTCTTTCATTATCCATGAGAACAATTGGCTTGCTTGGCTACTTCCTCTAAGAGCCAGGACTATTATTGTCTTGGTGGCCCAGAAGCTGCATTTCAGAAGTTTGGAAAGATGCTCTTCTTTCTAAATTTACATGTTTCCAAATCGATGTGTGCTGATCTAAAATATATTCAGGTGTGAGTCTGAGAATCACCACACCACTGAGACTGTTGGAAAATAGTGGCGAAGTGAAGGATAAGACATCAGTGCAGCAGAAACCGCACTGTAGTATGCTACTGTGAGCTTGGCAATGCCCCCTCCAGGCTCTGAGTGGCACAAGCTACGATTCCCTTACCCTTTATGAAATAATTAGGTAAATAACTACTTATTATTTAAATAAATAAGTAAATAAACAAATAAATGAGCAAGCAAGCTGCGGAGTTCCAAAGGCTGGTTATCTAGAGCCTTCTGAAGTAAAAACCATGTAAGGAAATGTTTGAGAATAAGCAAAAACATATCCCAGAAATCCAATTAGCCATGACTCTTCTCCTTTTAAAAGAATAAAAAAAAAAGAAGAAATCATAGAAAAAATACTTAAGATTTCTTGAGATGCCAGGTTAAATTTACAAATCTAAAATTATGAAGCTAGGATCCATGTAGAAAAAGAACATGTGGTGTTGTTTGTCTTTATGGGTCTGGGTTACCTCACTCAGTATAATGTTTTCGAGTTCCATCCATTTTCCTGTAAATTTCATAATCTCATTATCTTTACAGCTGAATAAAATCCTATTGTGTAAATGTACCACATTTTCATTATCCATCTTTCAGTTGATAAGCATCCAGGCTGGTTCTATTTCCTAGCCATTGTGAACAGAGCAGCTATGAATATGGATGTGCAGGTGCCTCTACAGTGGTAGGTAATACAGAGTCCTTTAGGTCTACACCCAGCAGGGGTAAAGTGGGTCATAGGGTAGTTCTGTTTCTAGCTATTTGAGAATTCTCCACACTGAAGGCACCAATTTATACCGTCACTAACACTGAAGAAGGGTCCCTCCTTCCCCACATCCTTTCGTCCCTTTTTTTTTTTTTTTTTTTTTTGGTCTTGACTTCTTGAAAACCACTCTAAGTAGAGTGAGATGGAATCTCAGAGTAGTTTTAATTTGCATTTCCCTGATGGCTAGTGATGTCAAACATTTTTTTAAAAATGTTCGTTAGCCATTTTTACTTCTTTAAAAACACTTTCATGCCTTACTTGTTTATGTATTTTTATGTTTATTTATCTATTGTGTATGTGCTATAGCATGCACAGGGAAGCCAAGGGGTAACTTTTGGGATTCTGTTTTCTCATGTTCCCACATGGGCCCCAGGGATGGAGCCCAGATTTTCAGGCTTGATGTCAGGTGCCTTTAGCTGCTAAGCCATATTACTGGCCTGTTTGTACTTCTTTTGAGAATTCTCTTGTCAGATCCACAGCTCATTTTTGGATTGGCTTGATTTCTTGATATTGAACTTTAGAGGCTAGGAAACTAGGAAGGGATTGTTGGGTGGGATGTTACCTGGGGTGGGGGTGGAGGGTGGAATAGTAGACCACGGGTGCACAGAAAACAGAGGAAGAATATGAGGGGTTGAGAGGTTTAAGTGGGGATGAGGAAATGAGAGGGTTGGGGATAAAAATTAACAAAAATGAAGGGCACATGACAAAGCCATATAGAAACCCAGTATATTGTAAGCCAAATTAAAAATGTAAGTTAAAAAAAGAGTTTGAGCAGGGCTGTGGTGGTGAATGCCTTTAATCCCAGCACTTGGGAGGCAGAGGCAGGTGGATCTCTGTGAGTTCCAGGCCATCCTAGGTTACAGAGTGAGTTCCAAAGAAGGCTCCAAAGCTACACAGAGAAACCCTGTCTCAAAAAAAAAAAAAGTTTGAAAGGAGATATCCCCCATGGCTTCTTTTAAAAGCCATGAAATATTAAAGACAACCTTAGTGCCAGGAGTAGGGTGACTCATGAGTTCTCAACCCCCCCAGCCCCCCAACCCCGCAACGATGTCAACTCTTCCCATTCTCCTAGTTGCCCAGAACTAGATGATAAGACAGTATTATTGAAGACACCATACACATCTGTGGTAATACATACAAAAAAATTGAACTGGAATTGAGCTAGAATCGTCCCCTGTCCCAGCTAATTAATTGCACCTCCTGTAAATTGGCACACCTCCCTCCAGAAGGTACAAAACAGGCTGCTAGGGGAGAAAACTAGTCAGTAGCCTTATCCAGCTGTGAACCCCATGAACTACAGTACCAAGATGCCATGTAAAATGCGTATATAGCGGCATGACTGTTACGGGAGTACCAAACTGAATTCTGATTGGACTGTAGGCCTACCTCACAGGAGATACACACCCATTACTGCAAACCTGGGCAAAGACCACGGCTAGGGAAGGATCTAGGAGGCATCCACCACTGCTGTTTTGTTAAATGGACATGGTCGCAAGGCGCCCTCTAAATATTTATGCTTATCTTCACAGATCAGTGCTGCTGTCCGCCTTGGTCAAGAGAAGCTTCTGGTTGCAGTGAGCCATCATCATTACAGAGACTAACAGCCAGTCCATGTGCTCAGTACAAGTAACTTCAAGGGTTTGTCCCTAAACGGCACATCTATGTCGCCCCTCCAAGGCTCGGAGAGCTTTGTGGAAGAGGGCACAGGAAGAATATAGGAGCCAGAGGATGGGAAGGATTGCTGTAAAAAATGGTCTTTCCGGACAGGCCATTGCTGTTGCATCCAAGAACTCACAGCGGTAGAACCTAGTGACTGAGCTCATTATCGCTTTATCAGGAGGAGGGGACTCCTACGGCCCCGCCCCTCCCAGAGGGGCTAGTAACAGCTAAAAGACAAGGGTGTGTGAGAGTGTGTGTGTGTGTGTGTGTGTGTGTGTGTGTGTGTGTGTCCCCAGTAGTGCATCCCTTAGGGCACTGTCCCCACTTACACAAATAGGTTCCCTCAGTGCTCGTGCATGCACCCCTAATTAACTGCAGCGGGTCACATGAACAGAAGGCAAGAAAGAAGGACGGCACCTTGGGAAGGAGGAGGGATCCAGGAAAGTGGGAGGGGCATAGGGAGGGTGTGGGGTGGGGACTTCAATCCCAGAACAGGTATATGAAACTGTGAAATAAAAAATAAATTTAAAAGGGAAAGACAAAACCTTGAAAGAGCAAATACTATACAAAGATAAGATCATTTTTACAGTGACAAGACTGCTAGATTCTTCTCCTTCTCCTTCTCCTTCTCCTTCTCCTTCTCCTTCTCCTCCTCCTCCTCCTCCTCCTTCTCCTTCTCCTTCTCCTTCTCCTCCTCCTTCTTCTTCTTCTTCTTCCTCTTCTTGTTCTTCTTGTTCTTGTTCTTCTTGTTCTTGTTCTTGTTGTTGTTGTTGTTGTTCTTCTTCTTCTTCTTCTTCTTCTTCTTCTTCTTCTTCTTCTTCTTCTTCTTCTTCTTCTCATTCTTATTCTTATTCTTATTCTTTTCTTCATTTTTGGCTTTTGAAAACAAGGTCTCCATGTGTTTCTAGTCTGATCTAACCTTGCTATGTAGATCAGACTGACCTCAAAGTTATGATTCCCCTGCCTCTGCTTCTCAAGCACTGAGATGATAGTGGAGCTCACCATGCCTGGCAGGATTGCCAGACTCTTAAGGAAAACTAAGAATAAAATGTGGCCTATAATAACATAATCCTGAATCCACTTCTTAGAGTGATAGACAAGTGACATCTGAGCATGGATTGGAAAATTGACATTTTGACAATTCAGCGTTTAACAACTCGGCTTTGAAAATACTGTGCAGAGTGACCAGGCTTGGAGCTTTTTCTTCTTATCTGTCTACACTGGCCAGCATTTTCAATGGAAGCATATGCTAGATGGGTGTTTCATTTGGCAGCAGGCTAATCATTTAAGTATAGATTTCAGAATCAAATGTGAGCTTCACAAGCAAACATTTTCAAACAGAAGCACTCCCACCAATTACTCCCTCAAAACAAATGTCTGTCTTGGAGCCAGCATGGGAGGCCAAGCATTCTAGTAAGTTTCTATAGGACCGGCACTACCGTCATGTCCCTTTCAATGCTTTATATTGGTCCCATTCTCTTTCAAATCTCTGTGGGTTGCTTACAGGGCTGGTCTCTACACATGATTTTGCAAGATAAGGGCAAGCATTTTTCAATGGGTGTTTTCTTGGAAAGAATAAATAGGAAACACATACTACATTGAACTTTATCTGTCTATCTGCCGTGTGTTTGTGATGTGATGATTTGCAGTATTTACTTAGTTCTGTTTCCAGAAAAAGGATGTTAAGAAGAACTGGGAACCCCCTTCTCAAGGTTCAGGGATCTATTATGGAAGAGGAGGCAGAAGGATTGAAAGAGCCAGAGGGGATGGGTGACTCCAAGGACACAGTGTCCTCCAGACACAACAGGACTGATACCCACATGAACTCATGGAGACTGGCAGCACACGTGTGACCCGCACAGGTTCACATCAGATGAAATCCCATCACTGAGCAGGGGCATGTACACAAAGCCCTACTCCTAACCAAGAAGTTATTTTCACTTGATACCTAATGAATGGGAGAGGGAAAATCAATTTTCTTCAATGGAGTGTCACTGGGTATATCAGCCATACTCCAGGGCAGTCTCCATGCCAAGAGTAATTGGCTGATACAAAATGGACTCCATGGGTTTTTTTTTTATGCACTTTTTGTCTTTTTTTTTTTTTTTTTTTTTTTTTTTTAGTTGAAGTTTTTTTTTTTTTCTTTCCTTGAATTCACTTTCTAAATCAGGCTGGCCTTGAACTCACAGAGATCTGCCTGCCTCTGCCTCCCAAGTGCTGGGATTAAAGGCATGTGCCACCACCTCCAGGTAGATTGTTTTGGTTTTTATTATTTATTGTTTTCTTGTCTTGTTTTTTTTTTTTGTTTTGTTTTTGTTTTTAAGGGAGAGAGAACATGAAGTTGAGTTGGGAAGAGTTGAGGAAGGGGGAAGAATATGATCAAAATGTAGTCTACCAGTGAGAGCAGAGGCCTGTCCCTGACTGTGTTGCCTGCTTTGGGGACCCATTCCTCCAACCAGATTGCCTCATCCAGCCTTACTAGAAGAGGAAGTGTCTAGTCTTACTGCGACTTGATACACCATGGCTGACTGATATCCATGGGAGGCCCAGCCTGTATCTGAAGAGAAACAGTGGAGGGGAATGGATGCTTGGGGGTGAGGGGGGGACTGAGAAGAGGGGAGGGAAGAGAAATTTTGATTGGGATATTAAAAAAAAAAACAAATAACAGTAAAAAGAAAATAACCAAAAAGAAACATTGTATAAAAAAAAATAATAATTATCTTAAAAGAAGAATTGGGGACAAGTGGGATGGCTCTGTGAATGAAGGTGCTTGCCACTAAGCCTAATGGCCTGAGTTCAATCCCCAGAACTCTCATGGCAGAAGAGAGAGAACAAACTCCCACAAATTGTCCTCTGCCCACCACACGTATACAATAGCACATGCTCATCCCTCCACACACACAAAATAAAATAAAATAAATCAGACTAGTCTAATTTCCCTTTATTACTGAGGAATCTTTTCAACTACAAGTGACAGAAACTAAATTAATCTGATATCAACTTGTTTAAAGGGGAGACTTAATGGCTCACAAGTGAGAAACAGCTTCTGAGTTTCAGGCATAGATGGATTCAGGGTTTTAAACCATGTCACCATGCCTCAGCCTTGCTCCTCATCTCTTGGTTCTGCCTGTTTTGTTCTGAATTTAATCTCAGGTAGAATATTTCATCTATTATTCTTCTAAATTGCAATTCCAGGGACACAAGTTGTTTCTTAATCGTTCCCAGAAAAGTCCTGAAATCCAGTGTCAACAGAGCAATATGGATCACACACCTAACCTTCCATTATCATGAAGAAAATAAGAGTTCATTGACTGTGCAAACCTGGACCTCAGTCCCAAGGAAGCCCCATAGACTTAGAGGGGACAGGAAGTTTCTCAAAGCCAAGGTATGTAGAGGATATATATATATATATATATATATATATATATATATATATATATACAAGAAGAGTGGGGATAGATATTGAACCAGAGAGAGCAAGTATTTCAGTGTAGAGCAATGGCTCATCTGTTAAGAGCAGTTCCTGCTCTTTCAGAGAATCCAGTTTGACTTCCCATAATGCAAATGGGTGACTCTAGTTCAAGAGGATCTGATGCCCTCTTTTGGCTTCTGTACACACACACACACACACACACACACACACACACACACACACACACACCATATACTCATACAGGCACAAACACACAAGAATAAAAATAAACCATTTTTAAAAGGTAAATATCTTCTCTAGGCAGGTGGTCTATGCTAACAGTGAAACTTTTTTTTTAATATATAAAAAATATTGCCATCAACAAGCACCAGCTGGTCATACAGCATTTCCCTTCATTTTGGGGGGTGATGGATAGTAGTTCTTGGTCTTCCATTGAAGCCACTGTGCTTCTTACAGAGCTTTGACCAGTCATTTTGACTCCTCCAGCCAATCATCCTGGGGCACATATCAGCAGCTCACTGACCTAAGAACACCTCCTTTTCCTATTCACTTTCTAGGATCGGAAGTAATCAGTGAAATGTAAGTAGAAGTCCCTGGGTGGGGCTTCTAAGAATGCTTTGAAGAGATAGCTTCGGCCATCTCTTAAATCTTTGACCTTAAATCTTTGCCCCTGTTTCCTGTCCTTACCCCTTCTTCTTCCCAGGGCATTAATGTCCCAGGGATTGGAGGTCCACAAGTCATCTTTGAAAACTCAGGAAGAAGGGTATAGGCTAAGGATTAAAGAAGCCCAATACAGAAGCCTGGGACCTTTTGTAGAATCAATTACTAGCTTCAACTATCTGTCCTCAGACCTCGTGAGCAACACAAATATACCCCTTTCCCTCCACCCAGATGAATTCCTAACCAACACACAAGCTCCATATCCTCTCGCGCGCTCATAATGATCTTATTAATTAGGTACATTAATTGATGGCTCCCTACTTTAATTATTCTTGTTAACAGTAGCTAAGATCGTGGCATCTATTCTTCAGGCATGCTTCTGGTTAATACAGTATAGCTAGACACTCAGTACATAAACCTAAATTAGGCCACATGGCCTAATTTAGGCCACATGGCTCTGGTGTATAAACTGGATCCATCCAGAGGATGGAGCTGGTACCCTAGAAAGATGGAGTTCTCCTCCCTAGTGCTTCAGGAGATGGCTCTTATCTGTCCTTTCTAACATTCAGGGCTTAGGCTCTTTCTCATACCAGTCATAAAAAGCTAGAAACTGAATTATGCCCACAATTACCATGCACTCATAGCCCTAAACCTTTCCTGAGGTGAGGGTCTCCTCCTGTGCCCCATCTAGCTCCCATTCAGCCTTCTGACTTGAACTACACTTTCATAAACACTTCGTCCAATGGAAAAAGGGAAACTAAGAGATCCATGCCCTCAAATGGCACATGCTAATAAAATTACTACATTACTATTACCTTTCACAAGCCTTCTCCATGGGCTCATCATTCTCACTCAGCTCTTGCCAGTGTAAGCCAGAAGCATGAGGTCCATTTTCCCTTGACTAGGAAATGCCAGCACGTGTCTGTGGGCTGGCAGAATAACTGCCAAGGCCTTCTAAATGAGCCCCACTGAGTGCCATCTGGAGGATGGAAATCCTAAGTCTCAAACATTATGTGATCTAATCCATGTAGAGACAAGAACCAGCAACTTATGTGGTCCCAGCAAACGATTGAATAATCTTCTAAATCAGTCGAGTTAATTTTGAATGAGAGTTAAATTTGAAGGGCATTCATGAATTCTATATGGAATATGGAGTTGGGGGCTCAAGTGACATCAGCTCTTGGCAAAAAAACAAAAAACAAAACAAAACAAAAAAAAAAAAAACCAGATCAACCTTCATTTACTAACTTCTCTTACCTTCGAGATTTCTGAGTCAAAGGTCCCTAAGTACACATGCCAGAAGGAAACTGCTTCACAGTTGGATGCTGTGTGACTGGGTGTGGTGGGGATGTGAT